AAAAAAAAACAGGAAGGGGGCAAAAACCTTTTCACAGCACTGTATATATTTAAATTATGACAACTCTCAGAAGATTTTAGCATGGTGATGGATATGCGATACGGTGCTCTGCTTTTGCGCACTGCAAAAATCTAGAGTGAATGCTAGCCAGCCATATAAATGTAAGGCAGTAAACTCATTGGCTGCATATGCAACATGAACCACAGGAAGGGGGCAAAAACCTTTTCACAGCACTGTATATATTTAAATTATGACAACTCTCAGAAGATTTTAGCATGGTGATGGATATGCGATACGGTGCTCTGCTTTTGCGCACTGCAAAAATCTAGAGTGAATGCTAGCCAGCCATATAAATGTAAGGCAGTAAACTCATTGGCTGCATATGCAACATGAACCAATCAGCTTGTGCCAAGTCGTTTAACTCTGACTATCATCAGTTACATTAACACCCGTCAGCCTGCGCCATCTAGAGATTCATGACTGAACTATACATATATATAGCAATGCTAGAAAATAGATATGTCCCAAATTGTGGTAACATGGATTTTGTCGTCAGTATTTTTTTTTAATGCTTGTGAATGAAGTCTCTTCTGCTCACCAAGGCTACATTCATTTTATCAAAAATGCAGTAAAAACATGAATATTGTGAAATATTATTACAATTTAAAAAATGTCACTGTTTTCTGTGTGAATATGCTATAATGTAATTTATTGCAGTGATGAAAGCTGAATTTTCAGCACCATTACTGCAGTCTTCAGTGCCACATGATCCTTCAGAAATCATTCTAATATGCTGATTTGCTGCATGTCAGGAGTGCTGCTCATCAAGAAACATTTCTGATTATTTTCAATATTAAAAACAGTTTTGTGTTGCTGAATATTTTTGTGAAAACTGTGATACATTTTATTTTTTGAGGAATAGTTCAAAAGTACCGCATTTCTCAGCATTGCTAAATAAAATAATTTCTAAAAAAAAAAATGACGTGAAACTTTTGAAAACAAACAGTCCAATTGTTTCAGTCATATTAAATAATATTTTTTAATTTCAAGGCCAGCTAATGAATATTACAACAAGACTCACCGTTCAGAGGTTGTTCTCTCAGATAACAGCCTATGGTGGGAAGCTGAAGTATGCCATCTATTACGAGGCTCGTGATGAGACGGGCCGCACCTCTTACGAGCCCCAGGTCATCTTAAAGGGCGGCCCCAATAAGGACAAGGTCATGGTTCGCCACATGCCAGTGCTTCAGATTGGCCAGCTGACCCGTCACGAGATTGACATAACAGAGGTGAGCCAATCAGGGATGAGAGTCAGTGCTCAGCCCCTCCCACTTACTGAAACACACAGCAGATCGCTTATACGAGAGTGATGACAGTGTTTGCATGCGCAGGAGTCATTTAATTGATCTAGTTTACAACAGTTACTTCAAGCATACACTACAATTTTGATGTTTTGCAGCATGAGTGGAAGCACAGTGATGACAGGCCGATGTCTCGTGAGGATTTCATGGACATACTGTTTCATGTCGAATATATACTAATAAAGGCCTCACACGGCAGCGTCATGAGACACAGCAGGTAACTGATCTCAAGCAAGGTCCTTCTCATAAAAAAATTGTCTCGGTTATGGACGTAACCCTCGTTCCCTGATGGAGGGAACGGAGACGTTATGTCGTGACGACATAGGGGGTTTACTTGAGAACCCCAATCCACTCTGACTTTCAGAGAAAACGGCAATGAATTTTGGCTAGTGGATTTTGCATACCTGAGCCACTCCCCGTGCATACGGGTATAGATAGGCGACAGGTGCATCCATGCATGCGCAGGAGTCATTTAATTGATCTAGTTTACAACAGTTACTTCAAGCATACACTACAATTTTGATGTTTTGCAGCATGAGTGGAAGCACAGTGATGACAGGCCGATGTCTCGTGAGGATTTCATGGACATACTGTTTCATGTCGAATATATACTAATAAAGGCCTCACACGGCAGCGTCATGAGACACAGCAGGTAACTGATCTCAAGCAAGGTCCTTCTCATAAAAAAATTGTCTCGGTTATGGACGTAACCCTCGTTCCCTGATGGAGGGAACGGAGACGTTATGTCGTGACGACATAGGGGGTTTACTTGAGAACCCCAATCCACTCTGACTTTCAGAGAAAACGGCAATGAATTTTGGCTAGTGGATTTTGCATACCTGAGCCACTCCCCGTGCATACGGGTATAGATAGGCGACAGGTGCATCCACTCATCAGGTTTTACACTGAGGAGCCGAGAACGTGTCCCTGGCAACCAGCAATGGTTCAAGGTTGTGTCAAGGGGACATAATGTCTCTGTTCTCTCCATCAGGGAAAGAGGGTTACGTACGTAACCGAAACGTTCCCTATCTGTCGGTCACTACGAGTTATGTCATGACCACATAGGGGGTCCATGGGAAGCGCCACAACCTGAACCCCGTCACAACCCTGTAGCGCTGCAAATGTTGAAAAGCAGCCGCGTGTCAGACAAATGCTATGCAAAGGTCATAACCTTCCCAACGCCCCAGCCCAAATCGCTGACCTTGGCACCCGCAGGGACCAAAAGGTGAGTGCATCGCTGCTGGAGATAGCTGTTCCTATGACAGAATTTTTTTTCTTAAAAGAAGGGATTTCGACTTTCATGAAAGGTGCTTCACGCCTTTCCTGTTTGTTGTTTACAGCTTGGCAGTAATGAAGAGGAAGCGAGCCTTCTGGAGAAGGGCACAACGGAGACCACATCCTGCCCGTAGGGAGGTATCATGTGGAGACAATGACACGAACTGACCCAGCCCTGGGGCAGTACTACATATGGAATGGATCTCTGAGGCAGGTCCTACCTAGGAGTAGGAAGGAACGGTCTGTCAAAGGGAAGACACGCGTTCACAGAGAGGGAAACCTTACCGTGGAAGAATACACATATTGGATCGTCCGCAGGGAATCAAGCCATATGGACACCTAGCCCTGTAAAGGGGCTGACCGGAAACCTGGCCTGTCCTGGCATCAGACTGGCATCAGACTGCTCCGCTCCGGGGGTGCTGGAGGATACTCAACCAGGGTTCATCGTCCGGGGAACTTATTGGAGGAGCTAAAAGCTCTCACATCCCCGGGTGAATGGGAATGGCACAGCAAGCGGAATGGCGCAGCAAGCCGGCTCTTCACGCTACTTACCTGTTACCCAACAAACAGGAAGAAACCCGGAGACTGAAAAATTTTGTGAAGTCGGTGTTGCCCAGCCCGCAGCTCTACAGATGTCTGCCAGAGAGGCGCCGTACGCCAGCACATAGGAGGACGCAACTCTCCGTGTGGAGTGAGCCCTCACTCCCAGTGGGCACGGCTCACCTTGGGATTGGTAGGCCAAGGCGATGGCATCCACTATCCAGTGGGCCAACCTCTGCTTGGAGACAGCCTTCCGTTTCTGCTGACCTCCGTAGCAGACAAAGAGCTGCACAGAGCTTCTGAAGCTCCTGGTGCGTTCCACATATATGGTGGAGACAATGACACGAACTGACCCAGCCCTGGGGCAGTACTACATATGGAATGGATCTCTGAGGCAGGTCCTACCTAGGAGTAGGAAGGAACGGTCTGTCAAAGGGAAGACACGCGTTCACAGAGAGGGAAACCTTACCGTGGAAGAATACACATATTGGATCGTCCGCAGGGAATCAAGCCATATGGACACCTAGCCCTGTAAAGGGGCTGACCGGAAACCTGGCCTGTCCTGGCATCAGACTGGCATCAGACTGCTCCGCTCCGGGGGTGCTGGAGGATACTCAACCAGGGTTCATCGTCCGGGAAACTTATTGGAGGAGCTAAAAGCTCTCACATCCCCGGGTGAATGGGAATGGCACAGCAAGCGGAATGGCGCAGCAAGCCGGCTCTTCACGCTACTTACCTGTTACCCAACAAACAGGAAGAAACCGGCTCTACCGTGGAAGAATACACATATTGGATCGTCCGCAGGGAATCAAGCCATATGGACACCTAGCCCTGTAAAGGGGCTGACCGGAAACCTGGCCTGTCCTGGCATCAGACTGGCATCAGACTGCTCCGCTCCGGGGGTGCTGGAGGATACTCAACCAGGGTTCATCGTCCGGGGAACTTATTGGAGGAGCTAAAAGCTCTCACATCCCCGGGTGAATGGGAATGGCACAGCAAGCGGAATGGCGCAGCAAGCCGGCTCTTCACGCTACTTACCTGTTACCCAACAAACAGGAAGAAACGCGGAGACTGAAAAATTTTGTGAAGTCGGTGTTGCCCAGCCCGCAGCTCTACAGATGTCTGCCAGAGAGGCGCCGTACGCCAGCACATAGGAGGACGCAACTCTCCGTGTGGAGTGAGCCCTCACTCCCAGTGGGCACGGCTCACCTTGGGATTGGTAGGCCAAGGCGATGGCATCCACTATCCAGTGGGCCAACCTCTGCTTGGAGACAGCCTTCCGTTTCTGCTGACCTCCGTAGCAGACAAAGAGCTGCACAGAGCTTCTGAAGCTCCTGGTGCGTTCCACATATATGTGCAACGCTCTTATGGGACACAGCAACGCCAAGGCTGGAATTGCCTCCTCCGAGGGAAGTGCTTGCAGGTTCACCACCTGATCGCGAAAGGGCGTGGTGGGAACCTTGGCCACGTATCCAGGCCGGGGTCTCGGGATAACGTGAGAGTAGGCCGGCCCCGAACACAAGGCACTCTTAGCTCACCGCAAATGCTTGGAGGAAGTGAGCGCGGTCAGGAGCGCTGTCTTAGCAGACAGGAACTTAAGCTCAACTGAGTCCAGCGGCTCAAAGGAAGCCCTCTGAAGGCCAGCCAGGACAGTAGAGAGATCCTAGGAGGGTACCAGGGGTGGCCTAAGAGGATTCAACCTTCTGGCACCCCTCAGGAACCTGACGATGAGATTGTGCTTTCCCAGGGACCGGCCGTCCACTGCAATCTTGATGTGCTGTGATAGCAGCCACATTCACTTTCAAGGTGGAGTGTGACAGTCTATGCTCAAACCTTTCTTGCAGGAAAGAATGCACTACTCCAGTTGTGCATCTTCGGGGGTCTTCTCGGCGAGAAGAACACCAGTTCACAAACAGACTCCACTTCAGAGCATAGGCTTGCCTCGTCGATGGAGCTCTAGTCTGAGTGATCGTATTTACCACCGCCGGTGGGAGATCACTTAAGTCAGAGTCTGCCGCTCTGAAGTGGAGTCTGTTCGTGAACTGGTGTTCTTCTCGCCGAGAAGACCCCCGAAGATGCACAATTGGAGTAGTGCTTTCTTTGGGTGCCAAATGGTGCTGAGCCCCTGAGGAAGGACCTCCTTTCTGGATGCGCCAGGGAGGGGCTGTCGCGAAGACCATGAGTTCCAAAAAACAGGTTCTGGTAGGCCAGTAAGGCGCAACCAGCAAGACATGTTCCTCGTCCTCCCTGACCTTGCATAGTGTCTGTGCGAGAAGGCTCACTGTGGGAAACGCGTACCTGCGTAGAGCCCGATGCCAGCTGTGTGGAAGTGCATCTGTGCCGAGGGGGCCTCGATCAGGGAGTAATACAGCTGGCAGTGGGAGGACTCTTGGGAAGCTAACAGGTCTACCTGTGCTTCCCCCAAATCGACTCCAGATCAGCCGGATTGTCTCGGGATGGAGTCGCCATTCTCTGGGGAACGTGAGCTGTCATGAGAGAGCATCGGCTGCACGATTGAGCTCCCACAGAATGTGGACGGCGCACAGCGACTTGAGCCGCGTCTGACTCAATAGGAAGAGATGAAGGGCGAGCTATGACATGTTACGTGATCGAGACAGCCACAGTGTTGTCCGTGCAGACCATTACGTGCTTGTCTTGCATCAATGGCCGGAACTGCTGCAAAGCCAGATGCACTGCCAACAGCTCTAGGCAGTTGATGTGCCAAAGCAGTCGAGGCCCTGTCCAGAGCCCCGAGGCTGCCTGCCCGTTGCATGTAGCACCCCAACCCATACTGGAGGCATCTGTCATAACAACGACATGCCAGGACACTTGTTCTAAGGGCACTCCGGCCCGTAGAAAGGCAAGGTCTGTCCAGGGGCTGAATAGGTGGCGACACTCTGGTGAGATGGTGCTGTGTGATGTGTGATCACCTGTGTAATGTAACCAGTGCTGAAGTGGTCTCATATGAAGCAATCTGAGTGGCGTGACTGTGACTGCGGGTGCCATATGCCCCAGAAGCCTCTGAAAGTGTTTCAGAGATACCACGTTCCTGCCTCTGAAGGAACTCAGGCAGTTCAGCACTGACTGGGCGCACTCATTGGTGAGATGCAATGTCATAGTCACAAAGTCTAACTCCATACCGAGAAAAGAGATCTTCTGCACGGGGGAGAGTTTGCTCTTTTCCCAGTTGACCCGAAGCCCCAACTGGCTGAGGTGCCGGAGCACCAGGGCCCTTTGATCGCATAACTGCTCTCGTGACCGGGCCATGATGAGCCAGTCGTCGAGGTAGTTGAGGATTCTGATGCCCACTTCTCATAACGAGGCAAGGGCGACCTCCATAAAGACACGGGGGTACAGGGATAGCCCAAAGGGGAGGACCCTGTACTGACATGCCCGACCCTCGAACGCAAAGGGAACGGCCTGTTTTGAGGATGAATCGAGACATGAAAGTAAGCGTCCTTCAGGTCGACCGCTGCAAACCAATCCTAGGGCTGGATGCATCTGATGATGTGCTTCTGCGTCAACATCTTGAATGGGAGCTTGTGAAGGACCCGATTCAAGACTCGCAGATCCAGGATTGGCCAAAGGCCACCGCCGTTCTTGGGCACGATGAAGTAAGGGCTGTAAAACCCTGTAACCCTGTAAAACCCTCGAGCTGCCACCGAAGTCTCGAGAACGCTGCTGAACCTGGGGGTTCACCTGGTGAACTGAATCGCGTAGCTGAGTCGAACTGTCCGAATGAGCCAGCGGGACAGGTTGGGCTGCGCGAGCCTGGCTTCCAAGTGGCACCAAAGGGACAATTGACACACCCGTGGTGGTTCAGCGGTGGGAAGTCGTTCTGGATGGCACAGAAGGCATCGCATCCTGGCTCATCACAGCAGGACTCCCCATGTCCCCGGAGTGAGAGGCAGTGTGTCTCCGAGATGCGATCTCTTGGCTGCTGGCGATAGGGGGCGTCGTGGGCGAGTGAGGAAGCAGCGCATCGCTCACTGTCAACCCATGAGCCTGATAACCCGGAGGAAAAGGAAACTGCTCTTTTTTCGAGAATATGGGTACCGCTGGTCGTTGGACCAGTAGCGGAACAGAAACAAAACGGAAAAAAAGGTTCTAAAAGAAAAGGCTTTTGTGTGCAATATTTGACATGTCATGCACATCTCCAGCCCGATACTCACAGCTGCCCGGGAAAGCTCGGCCGTCAGTTCCAGGTCCGATCCCTGAGTGATTTCGCTGGCTCGGCATACGATCCTCCAGCGGCGCAGCGAATGAAATGCTGGGACCGTCACGAGCCGGGCCAGAGAAATCACTCGGGAGCCGCACGGGACATTTTCTGCGGGAGGAGTGAGAGGTCCGCGGGGACGTGCCTGGCGGAGAAGCTCTCACTGTGACCCTCAGATCTCCCAGAGCTGTAGCCGGTGGTCCCCTGCTCGTGACAGGGAAACCAGGACGGGTAGAGAGAGAGGGTAGCGCTTCGTTCCCCATAAGGAGAGAGAGGCGAGATCGCAACAAAGCCATGCTCATACGCTCGCAATGAAAGCATGAGTCATCCACGAACGCAGCTTCAGCTTAAGGTCTGTCCAGACACTGAAGGCAACGCTCGTGGCCATCAACAGAGGACAGGTAATGACCGCAATCAAGAGAACAAGGATGGAACGGCATATTTAAAAAGACGCGAGCTGTCCGTGATGAGAAACTGCTCTTTTAGTTGAAGCACCCAGGGGAATCGCTGAATCAACAGGGACACCGCTGTTTGTGCCGTCATGCCAACCAGGAATGGCTTATTTCTTCCAGTCAGATCAGAAAGGTTTTGTGGAGAAGAAATCATTCACCCACTTGTCTCCGAAGCAAAAATCTGATGAGTGGATGCAACTGTCGCCTATTTATACCCGTATGCACGTGGAGCGGCTCAGGTATGCAAAATCCACTAGCCAAAATTCATTGGCGTTTTTTCTGAAAGTCAGAGAGAATTGGGGCTCTCAAGTTAACCCCCTATGTCGTCACGACATAACTTGTAGTGACCGACCGATAAGGAACTACAACTTCAGTCAACTCTCAAATTACCACGAAGAACCTTGTTTATTTTGGTTAACTAAATCTAAATCTAAATATATATGTATACATATATATATATATATATATATATATATATGGCGTATATGTATATTATTTTTTTTATCTAATTCCCAAGGCAATTAGTTCAACTTGTACTAAAATAACTAAAATTAAAACTGTATAGACATATTAATAATACTAAAAAATGGAAAAACACAGAATAGAATTACTAAAACTTTAACTAAAATTAAAATGAAAATGGAAAATATTGAAACAAAAAGCCAATTAATAAATTGATAAAATTAATCAAAAACTATAACTCAGCGATACTAAAATAGCACTGGGGAAAACTAGTTTCATAGGTTTTGACTTATTTATGTGGTTCATATACTGTATGTTTTGGATTGGTGTGCAGGATTTCTGAGATCACTTTGGAGGTGGCTGAGGTGGGGACGCACTCACAGGACAGTGAAATCGCCCATCAGATTGAGAAATGTGACTGTCCTCTGGGATACGCCGGTCTCTCCTGTGAGGTAATGGCTTTTGTGTGCAATATTTGACATGGCAGAGCTGTTAAGTGCTTGAAGGTTGTGATAAGATGTGTAAAATGTTATACATTTATTACCCAACTCTCTGTTGGTCAGGTCTCATAGCATAATGTTGGTCAGATAATATAGTGTAATCTCAAGCAAACGTCATAATAAAAATACTAAGGACACACATTTTCATATGTTTTATATTTATTACATAGTACACTTCAAAAGGTTCTTCGAACGATGCCATAGAAGAACCATTTTAGTTCCACAAAGAAGCATTCAGTCAAAGGTTCTTTAAAGAACCATCTCTTTCTTACCTTTTTGTAATCTGAAGAACCTTCTTTCGTCAAAGAACCTTTTGTCAAACAGAACGGTTCTTCCGATGTTAAAGGTTCTTTATGGAACCATTTAGACAAAAAGGTTTTTCTATGGCATCGTGAAGCACCTTTATTTTTAAGAGTATATGGCTGAGATTGAACTCAATCTGTTGTTCATAACATTACAAAAAGCAACTCTGAAAAGTCCCAGCAAAGTAATGCAGTTTCCAAATAGATTTAACGTGACATCCTTGTCACAATAATGCAACAGCTTTGAGTGGTGCTGACATGCCCTTTTATAACAGGGCTCTAGAAACACAGCAGCTCTGGAAAACTGGCCGAGTGTGGAGAGACGAACAGCTGGGTGTATCGCTGCACACCGCTCATCATTACAGCAAGTGTTTCTGCTTCTCAGACTGTTAATGTGTTAAAGCGCTCTCTCGCCGCCAGTCTCCACCCACAAGGCACTCGTGTGAGATCTTTAACAAGCTCAAGTGTGCGAGACTCCGATTACAGATCAGCGAGTGTCAGTTGTTCACATTCAGGCTGGACGAGGCCGCGTGGAGGCAGATGGCCGTAACTCTGAAACGCTCCATACTGTGCTTAATAAAGTATTTTTAAACAGGCGTTTAGCAAGTTCACCCTGAACAGATGGTGTACTAAATTGACGCGATTAATTTTGAAGAGCGAGGGTTAGAGGGAGTGTTGCTATGGCTTCAGCGGAGGACTATTTTTTCCCCCGTATGAATGTGCTGGTCTACGGTGTAACAATTTTCAGTGTGGATTTGCAGCACATTCCTGCTTACTAGTTTAATTACAATTATTATGTGTGTCTGCAATTTGCAATTTGTTTTATTTTACTATGCAACATACAGTAAAGTGTAGAGTAATTCTGATCCTAATGTGCACTCAATAAGAGTTAATTACTAACCTTATGTACTGTACATATAATGTCTATACTAAAACTGTAGCAACTGTAACACCACCATCACCACTTTTTGACTTTCAAAGCCACTTTTTGACTTTCCAACACAAACGACAGACCAAAACTCATTAATTTCCAATGGTGAGCAGTACGGGAGCTGTGTAAAGTTCTGACTGTATGTATACGCAAATAATGTTGAAATATTCAAATATTGGCAGCTAGACCATGTGAAACCGCCTGACTGGATGTGATATATCCTAAACAAAACTATAAGCACGAGCTGAGAATTACCGATATTTATGCTCTAAAATGTTATTCTTTACTATGCTTTACCTTCAAATGTATTGGCCATCATTTGTTTTGTGTGGAAATATTCAGACAGTTATTATTCATTCATTTTACCATCGTAAATAAGCAGAGGGTAAAGACCAGTTAGAAAGGTCTGTGTGACTGCCACTAGGGGACGTGGTATTTGTACACAAATTGGAGATGGCTAAAAAGGTGGCTAAAAGAAAGTAAAGCCCAAATGCCCTTCAAAGGGACACTATGAAAACAGAACTATTAACACTATAATCCAACAATGCCATGCAACATGGCCATTTATATAATAATTTGTTGTATTATGAAAGAAAATTACCTAGTCTGCATTAGGGTATGTTTACACAACAACTTTATATTAAAAATGAAAAAGTTTTTTCTTTGCGTTTTTAAAGATTTTTACATAAAAATGACAACGTTGTCAAAATGCTCCCTGTTCACACAGATCAGCGAAAGTGTCTAAAAGTGCTTTATTATTCATGCTAGGCCAGTAATTGGCGATGTCTCTTTGTAAAGAAACACTATGCGCCTATGCGTTCATATAGACTAAACACGTAACATGCATGTGCATAATGTCACCATTTTAGAGATAAATGGAGTTCCTCTTCAGGAACTCGAGCTGTGTCGAGAACGCTAGGGGAACGCCTTCAGTGACCCACGCTCTGAATCACATGTGAAATCAGTCCAATAGCTGAGCGGGACGTCACGGCGGATGACGTCATGACCGGGAAGCTATAAAAGCACGTGAGGCGGAGCCAGCGTCAGCTCCTGTCATTCAGCGAAGCGCTCTTTGTGTGTCAGTCATATTTATTGTTGTCTGTCAAAAGTCCATAAGCTCCAGCTATGTCTAAGCTCATGCAAGGACAAAGCATTTCAAGGGCGAGAGCAAGCCACGTTGTAGGTTGTGTGTTCCTCCCTGCTCAAAGATAATGTTATATCACGAGTGGGGACACACACAGCCTGTGCGTGGCTTGCTTGAGAGCGAAGCATAGTTGTTACTGCCTTGCTTCGCTCTCAGAGGGCTCTCTTTGAGGAGGGAGCCTTCACTAGCGTTCCTTGCGGAGCTTGCGCAGTCGGGGCGGATTGTGTTTTTTTTCCCCGCTATTAAACGCTCCGGCTCAGCTATTGGACTGATTTCACATGTGATTCAGAGCGTGGGTCACTGAAGGCGTTCCCCTAGCGTTCTCGACGCATTGTCTCGTTCCCTCGAGGAACCAGGGTTGCATACGTAACCCGAGACGTTTCTTATTACGATTATAGTGACCAAAATTATCATGGTTATCAATATCATCACAGTATTATTAAAATGTGCTGGAAAGTACTCATACACTGAAATAATTTCACCAAGTTTTATGTTGAAAAACATCAAATACAGTTAGCAGCACTATGCACGTTTGTGTGTGTGTGTGTGTGTGTGTGTGTGTGTGTGTGTGTGTGTGTGTATGTATGTATGTATTAGTGCTTTCAAATGATTAATCGTGATTAATCGCATCCAAAATAAAAGTTTTTGTTTACATAGTGCATACTGCATCCAAAATAAAAGTTTTTGTTTACATAATATATGTGTGCATACTGTGTATATTTATTATGTATATATAAATACAAACACATGCGTGTATATATTTAAGAAAAATTTTATGTTTATATATTAAATATATTTATATATAATATAAAATATAAGAATATAAATATCTAAATGTAAATATTTTCAAAATATATAACGTATGTGTGTGCATTTATATATACATAATAAATATGCACAGTACACATAGATAAAGTACACATAGCTTTTATTGCGATTAATCATTTGACAGGACTAGTGTATATATATGTGTGTGTGTGTGTGTGTGTGTGTATACATATACGTATACACACACACACACGCACGCACGTACACAACATAACATGTTATCTACTAATATGTACTACATATTCAAATAAAGTTTTATAAAATTATAAACCTCACATTTCAGTCTTTATTTGTAAAAAAGGATGAGTCAAAATGATAAATTATATGCATTTTTTCTGTTTCATAAATAATTATAAATAGGCTACTTTGTTATTCAAAGTGTTGAGATTTTTAGAATGCACATTAGCTTGTTTTCCATCTACCAGTTAGGATTTACAACAGAAAATTGGTCCAATTTTTGCATTGGTCTGAACACAAACTCCAGACAGACTGAATGAAAATGTAACTCCACTATCTGACAGCAGGTGGAATAGCAGAAATAGAGCGGCTTTCACGGTAAACACTGTACACAAAGCAGCCCTGCGCTTATAAACATTACTTTATTAGACGTTACATGGAGGAAAGATGAAAAACAAATGCCATCGACACTTTTCTGAAGACAGTCGGTTGTCCCTTATGCATTCATAGAATTAATTAATTCATACATTCTTTCATAGAATTTCTTTCAGCACTCTGAAAAAATGAAAATTGTTTTCACACAAAAACAAACCTACACTGTTGTGCCTGCGTGAGACTCTTACTAATTTTGCTTAACTCTGAGCAGTATTTACCTCAAGTTTTTCAAATCGCGATAATCAAATACTGTTTTAATAATGCTTAAAAAATGAAATGGTAATACTAACTGTCAGGACTTTTTATTGTGGTTTATCATCAAACTGGTCATAGGCCTATCCCTACACAGTTTTCACAAATTTACGTTTTTGTAGTTTATACTGAGACAGTAACAATATCGTTTTCAAAAACTTGCACTTTGAAGCCTATTTTCGAAAGTTTGTGTTTTCAGGCAACCAAAACGCAATTGTTGTGTAAATGAATGACCAAAGCACATAAAAGTTTTCTATTTAGTTGAAAACAGTGTTGTATAAACACTCCCTTAGTGTCACATTAATATGATGAATATATGATTTTACTGTGAGAGGTTGCGGTAAGATCCTGCTGATGTAGTACGGTGTGTGCGTGCGAGTAACTATATGTCTGCGTAGGAATGTGCGGCTGGGTTCTACAGGCTCGCTGTTGGAGCCACGTCCAGAGCGGGATTTGGCACCTGTGTCCGGTGCCAGTGCAATGGACACAGTGACTCGTGCGATCCTGAAACAGCCGTCTGCCAGGTACGTACACCCTTAATGAAAGCGTTTGTGAGCTGCATTACTCTGATTGGACCACGTCCTTCCTGATTGGATTGGCTTGAGTGAGTGTCTCCCATTGGTGGAGAGTTGAAGTAGCATTGCACTCAGAATATCTCAGCAATGGTATCACTAGCTATGTTTCCATCACTCTATTTTAATGCGCATTTTGAAGTATGGCATGAGAAACGAGTGATGGCAACACCAAATTTCAAATAAAAATCCCTTAATTTGCAAAAATGTTTTTATACTCTCTTGAGGTGGTTTTTGACTTGTGCGAAAAAGGGTTAATGCGAATAATGGGAGATGGAAATGCATTTTGCGAATAAATTCCTCCAAGTGACTTTGCGCTATGGGACAGTAAATCCTGACTAACCAGCGGACCGATCTCATTCCACAGCATCTGAAATGTTCTGGTCATTCTGAAATCCCTGAGCAAAGTCTGTCATCAAAGTATTTCTGAATAATTGCCTCCCAGAAATGTCTTACACGACTCGTTCCCAAACAGCAGCATCTACCTCCAAAAGCAGTGACCGCATTCATTGTGTTTCGTCTGCTCGCTCTGAGGCGCAAGTCATTTATTATATTTAAAAATGATCTTTTCTTAATGATTTATAGTGCCAGTTTATCAGGAAGTGACGATGTTGTTCTCTTTGACTCGTTGGATGGAAACGATGCTTGTTCGCAAATGTTTTATGCGATATTCCAGTTTTGCGTTAAATTCGTAACTTTGGATGGAAACCCGGCTAATGAACCATTATCCAATATCCATTTTCCAACTAAATGCTGCTGGAGCCAGTTTTCAGCCAGGGTGTCTTTGAACCGCTCTCAGAACTGGCTTGCATTTCCAGGCCAAGTGATGACAAAAGAGCTGCCCAGAACCTGCTTTTCTGCAGTGGAAATGTAGATTGGGCCAGACTGGATCCAGCACCGCATTAGTGGAAAAGAGATACAAGTAAAGCACATTAGAAGAATCAGGTCCGTTGAGTTCATTAGTCCAGTGCAAAGTGGACATGCAATCAAATAGTTCTCCAAACAGCTTTTCCAGAGTTGTGCATCGAACAGTCAACCTTCTACCTTCAATTGCATGCATGCTAATAGCAATATAATTTGCATTTTACGGGTTTTCGCAAATTGAAAATGGTAAACGAGTGTGTAGGGGGTAATTTGAGTAATTGAGCTACACAGGAAGTTAATGAAAGTTTCAGAGCGACACGGCCCAGTAAAGCGCAACTTCAGCAGTCTGATTACACTCCACTCTGAAAGCTGCCGTGCCTCTGTGCCTCTTCCTCTCCGGTTTTCCTCTCATTCTTGGTGTGTGACTTGGGCAACTTGAGAAATGCAAATCTTTAACTGGGGCCAGCTTTCTGTTCATAATGTTGCATTTTAACAAGATTAAGAGAGAGCTTTATGTGTTCGTTGAAAAGCTGCATTTGTATCGATTCTGTCTGTAATGAAATTAAGCTGTCGCCTTGTCACACACACACACACACACACACACACTCTCAAACACACAGACACACACACACAAACACAAAGTCTAACTTTCGCAGTGTTTCTCTCAGCTTTAGTCCCACCTGTCAGACGGAGGGTTTTAATGACTACCGCTGCATCGCCTGTCCTGAAGGCTACGAGGGAAAACACTGTGAAAGGTGAAAACATATTTCTAAATGATGTAAAACAAGTCGTTACTTACATGGCCGAATCTGTCAATAAAGTGTTGAAAATGAGCGTGCAGTGTTGAATGCGAGTCAAATCTTAGTAATTTTTGCCAGAGGCCTGATAATGTGATTGCACTCTGTGCAGGTGCGCTGCTGGTTTCCACGGTAACCCGAGCGTGTTGGGCGGCCGGTGCGAGGAATGTAAGTGCGATGCTTACGGTGCATTTCCCTCCGCGTGTGACCCGCGCTCCGGACAGTGCCGGTGTCGTCCCGGAGCCAGCGGCCTGAAGTGTGACCAGTGCATGGAGAGGCATGTGTGTGGCCCTCAGGGCATCGTGTGTACGTATGACACAAAACATGAGCCACTCTTTGACCCTGAGCCTTCCCTTGACATGTGCTGGCAAAATGAGTCACAATGAGCACATTTTCAAAAATTAGTTATTTTTATTTTTACATTCTCAATTAAAAGACCTTCAAAATGATATATGTGACCCTGGAGCACAAAAGCAGTGTGAAGTCGCTGGGGGATATTTGTAGCAATAGCCAACAATACATTGTATGGGTTAAAATTATCAACTTTTCTTTTATGCCAAAAATCATTAGGATATTAAGTAAAGATCATGTTCCATAAAGATATTTTGTAAATTTCCTACCGTAAATATATCAGAACTTAATTTTTGATTAGTAATATGCATTGCTATGAACTTCATTTGGACAACTTTAAAGATGATTTTCTCAATATTTAGATATTTTTGCACCCTCAGATTCCAGATTTTCAAATAGTTGTTTACCACACATCAATGGAAAGCTTATGGTAACACTTTATTTTAAGGTGTCCTTGTTACACACGTTACATGCACTTACTATTATAATAACAATAAATTATGCATAATTACATGCAAGCAACCCTAATCATAACCCTATCCATACAGTAAGTGCATGTAGTTCATTAATATCACTCAGTTCTTAAATGCATAATTACACTGTAACAAGGACACCTTAAAATAAAAGTGTAACCAAGCCTATTTACTCGGCTTTCAGATGGTGTATAAATCTCAATTTCAAAAAATGTACCCTTATGACTGGTTTTTGTGCTCCAGGGTCACGTATGAGTTGTTGGAATTGGACAAAAAATGCCTGAGCTACAGCCGTTTGAAGTCGATAGAGTACTACAAAAGCAGTTCAATCAAGTGATTCCCTCTTTTCTTTTACTGTTAGACTAACATTAATGAGACAGACAGCCTATTAAGACCTACTATTTTGCACAGATCTAATGTAATGTTACACATCAGCTGTTTTCCCCAACAGTTCCCCAAACGTTCACTTAAGGCACAACTGATTATGTTTGCTTGAATACAAAATCGAAATGTTTCCCTTTTTTTTTCTTTTTTTTTTTCCTGTAGCTCAAAATCAGACCCTGTGCATTCCGACTCATTTTGCCAGCACGGGTCACATATGATTACCTAAGTTAGGTCGATCTGATTTATTCCTCTGTGTCTTTGTTTCTTCTGCCATAAACAGCCTCTAATATCAGAGAAGATATGCAGCCAAAACAAACAACATTTTAATTAGACATGCTCAGATTTCCCCTCACAAAATTACTGTTTACTTTTGGTATAATTGTTGACTGATCATTTTCTCAGCTTGGAGAGATCAGATTGCATTGCTGCGCTAGACACCTGCTCCTCACCACTCAGTTTGAAATCATGTCTTTTAGCAGTTATGTGTTTATCGTAATTGTATTGGTTGACTGGGCAGATTGGGTAATAATGCATGTGTTTTTCTGTGTATGTGTGATGTGTGACGTGTGTTGCTTCATAATGCTTCATTTTTTTAATGAATTTTTGTGTTTTCCATCCTGAGAAGCACGACCAGCGTGACTACATTAGTGTAGTAATTTATTGATCTGTAAAATAAGAAAAAAAATGTATTATGCATTTAAAATAATTACTGTACAATATAATTAACTGTACAAACTATGTTGTTGCAATAGTAATATATTCTTATGTTAATTTATTTAGTTTTTTCATAATTTAAATAATTATTATTTTTCTGTGTGTGCACATTTGTGTGAGATGATGATGATTATTGATATTATTGATTATTGATACTGATTTCTTTTTAATTAGTTTATTTATTTCACTGTACAGTAGTAGTTCAATATAGTTTTTCAATCAAATCTTTAGGACTCAATAAAATCTGATTTATAAAAAATAATAAAATACAAAGTATAAAAATGTATAATATAATTAATATAATATAATAAGTTCAAAGTGTCAGGGGTCTTAATTTAGTCTTAATTTAACTTTCATTGCTAGTGCATTAAGCTAAGTGCTATATGTGCTTTTTTTTTTTTCTTTTGTAAAATACACTGAGGAATGAGTGAACATACTTTGTTTAATATGGAGCCACCACCCTGCTGTAAAGATTGATAATTGAGATTTGGCTTTCATGAACTCTTCAGTGCAGCCCTTTTCCCTTTTTATTTTTACATTCTCAATTAAAAGACCTTCAAAATGATATATGTGACCCTGGAGCACAAAAGCAGTGTGAAGTCGCTGGGGGATATTTGTAGCAATAGCCAACAATACATTGTATGGGTTAAAATTATCAACTTTTCTTTTATGCCAAAAATCATTAGGATATTAAGTAAAGATCATGTTCCATAAAGATATTTTGTAAATTTCCTACCGTAAATATATCAGAACTTAATTTTTGATTAGTAATATGCATTGCTATGAACTTCATTTGGACAACTTTAAAGATGATTTTCTCAATATTTAGATTTTTTTGCACCCTCAGATTCCAGATTTTCTAATAGTTGTTTACCACACATCAATGGAAAGCTTATGGTAACACTTTATTTTAAGGTGTCCTTGTTACACACGTTACATGCACTTACTATTATAATAACAATAAATTATGCATAATTACATGCAAGCAACCCTAATCATAACCCTATCCATACAGTAAGTGCATGTAGTTCATTAATATCACTCAGTTCTTAAATGCATAATTACACTGTAACAAGGACACCTTAAAATAAAAGTGTAACCAAGCCTATTTACTCGGCTTTCAGATGGTGTATAAATCTCAATTTCAAAAAATGTACCCTTATGACTGGTTTTTGTGCTCCAGGGTCACGTATGAGTTGTTGGAATTGGACAAAAAATGCCTGAGCTACAGCCGTTTGAAGTCGATAGAGTACTACAAAAGCAGTTCAATCAAGTGATTCCCTCTTTTCTTTTACTGTTAGACTAACATTAATGAGACAGACAGCCTATTAAGACCTACTATTTTGCACAGATCTAATGTAATGTTACACATCAGCTGTTTTCCCCAACAGTTCCCCAAACGTTCACTTAAGGCACAACTGATTATGTTTGCTTGAATACAAAATCGAAATGTTTCCCTTTTTTTTTCTTTTTTTTTTTCCTGTAGCTCAAAATCAGACCCTGTGCATTCCGACTCATTTTGCCAGCACGGGTCACATATGATTACCTAAGTTAGGTCGATCTGATTTATTCCTCTGTGTCTTTGTTTCTTCTGCCATAAACAGCCTCTAATATCAGAGAAGATATGCAGCCAAAACAAACAACATTTTAATTAGACATGCTCAGATTTCCCCTCACAAAATTACTGTTTACTTTTGGTATAATTGTTGACTGATCATTTTCTCAGCTTGGAGAGATCAGATTGCATTGCTGCGCTAGACACCTGCTCCTCACCACTCAGTTTGAAATCATGTCTTTTAGCAGTTATGTGTTTATCGTAATTGTATTGGTTGACTGGGCAGATTGGGTAATAATGCATGTGTTTTTCTGTGTATGTGTGATGTGTGACGTGTGTTGCTTCATAATGCTTCATTTTTTTAATGAATTTTTGTGTTTTCCATCCTGAGAAGCACGACCAGCGTGACTACATTAGTGTAGTAATTTATTGATCTGTAAAATAAGAAAAAAAATGTATTATGCATTTAAAATAATTACTGTACAATATAATTAACTGTACAAACTATGTTGTTGCAATAGTAATATATTCTTATGTTAATTTATTTAGTTTTTTCATAATTTAAATAATTATTAATTTTCTGTGTGTGAACATTTGTGTGAGATGATGATGATTATTGATATTATTGATTATTGATACTGATTTCTTTTTAATTAGTTTATTTATTTCACTGTACAGTAGTAGTTCAATATAGTTTTTCAATCAAATCTTTAGGACTCAATAAAATCTGATTTATAAAAAATAATAAAATACAAAGTATAAAAATGTATAATATAATTAATATAATATAATAAGTTCAAAGTGTCAGGGGTCTTAATTTAGTCTTAATTTAACTTTCATTGCTAGTGCATTAAGCTAAGTGCTATATGTGCTTTTTTTTTTTTCTTTTGTAAAATACACTGAGGAATGAGTGAACATACTTTGTTTAATATGGAGCCACCACCCTGCTGTAAAGATTGATAATTGAGATTTGGCTTTCATGAACTCTTCAGTGCAGCCCTTTTCCTTCCAGGTCTTTCCACACCTTTACTTGTTCAGTCTTTTGCGTGAAAAGGCGTCTTCACAGGAAGCCTTAATAGCTCTATTTTTTCAAGAGGTTAAATTGAGCGGCGTTTTGCGTCCGCAGCGAAAGCTACGTGCCTGTCGGTGTCTTTTTTCCTCCTGTTATCGCTCGTGGCATGTCAAACACTCATAATGGGCTGCCAGGAGCTGTTTCACACTCTCTGTTAAATTTCACGCTTGAGAAGTCCTGCTCCCCTGAGTTTCCACCTCGCTCACGTTTAATCTAGAGAGAGAGAAGTGCTCGGGGACACGGCTCGCCCTCCGAGCAGGTGATGGAGATGATGGAGGGATGCTGGATGAGTGCTGTTGTGATAGCAGAGACAAAAGAGGCCAGGAACATTCGTTACCAGCATTCTTGCCCCAGGACCTGTCCATCCTTGGCCCTCTCTCTCTCACACACACACACACACACACACACACACACACACACAAGCACTCATCCTGTACATATGCCTGATCAAATATGACTGCTCTACAAGCAGTGTTGGACAAGTTAAAATGTGATTACTGATTACTCCTTTTAAAAGTAATCACGTTACTGTTCTGATTACTTTATTTCAAAAGTAATTAGTCGCATTACTTTTTTCTGTGGCTACATCCATGAGATGTACATGAAATCCCAGCATAAAAGCTCCTGATAAATATTTGTTATTACTCGACAGCGCGTGTGCTACATCCTTTTTACAATCTCTAGATGATAAAACACTGCATTCTGTCAGCAATGTAACGCGGCAGTAACGTATAGAGACCTCGGCTTGTAACTATACTCTAATTACTATTTTGAAAATTATAATGCGTTAAATTACACCGTTACTAAAAAAG